TGATGGAATCATGCCTAAGAGGGCAAGAGGTGACACCTTGAAGGAACAAAGAAAAATGGGTTAGACATGAAGATTTGGGTCAATCAAAGCCCAATGGGCTCGATGGGTTTGGAAGGCCCAAGTTGCTCCTCACATTGGCCATAACTTGAGATAGTCATTTTCTTCTATTTTGTATATATCATATTAGTATAGGTTTCATATATTTTTGGTCTTGTATTTTGGACTATATAAAGTAGCATTTTTGGACCATATGCTTAATGAGCCTAATTTTGGACTTCATGGGCCTTTGGGCTTTTGGTACCCAATATTAGGCTCATTTTATTTCTTTTATTATTTCCTAATGTTTGTATTTGGTTGGTCATTGTATTTAGGCTATTAGCATAGGAATATTGAAGGAATACTAAAATAGGCCAAGAAGCTAAAATCTAGGTTTCATTTGGTAGTCATTTGAGATGCATTTGGATCACTTGTTTCTTGCTAAGCATGGCTGAACATGTGCACCTCCAAATACACTTCAAATGTCCCCTAAATGACATTTAGATACATGGCAGCCCCAAATTCATGGAATAGCACATGGAGCCTTGAATTTGAATTCAAATTTCCATTTGAAATTTGAATTGTTGGCGCCAATTGTGGCTAGTGAAGTTGGCGCCACCTAGCTTGCTTCTAGGATCTATAAATGCTTCTTCCTTCACTCTTTGCAAACACTTTGAGCATAATTGAGAAATCTCCCGAATACATTTTAATTTTCTCTCCCCAAAGTCACCTAGGTTCTTAGTTTAGCTTTCGGAACCCTTCACTTTCTAAAGCTAAACCGTGAGCCATCATTTGCACACCTAGCTTGAGTGCTTCCTTCTAAGATTTGGAATTGCAAATCTTGTCTTCTTCAACTCTTCATTTTGCTGGAATCAAAGTCTCAAAGGCAAAATCCATTGTGAATTCAAACAAGGAAGATTATCTTTTTCATGTCACCTACTTGACTCTATCAGTCAAACTCCTTTTATACTAAATTAAGTTGATATTGATTTTTATTATTAAAATCATAAAAAGAAATTACTGAGAACTTAAGTGAAAATAAAATCATTAAGATTTGAGAGGTTAATATGTATAAAAATATTTTTCTACGACTACGTCAATTCACTCATAGTGTTGCGTGTTGTTGATTTTTTTTGTTTTTCATAGTGAATGTTAGTTACTCTTCTAGCATTTAACATCACATAAATGTAGCAGGTATAATTTCTACAAATAGCTGTGTGGGAGAAAATAAAACATTGGGATAATTCACTCATCTTTCATTTTTAGTGTAGAGATCTTTTGATACACATAAATGATTTAATGGATTGAAGTAAGTGCATTATAGATTAAAATTATTCTTCTAGTAAAAGTGTTTTCTTTATAAAGATAACATTGTAGGTGTTTTAATTCAAACTATTATGATGTTGCTATATTTTCATTTAATTTATTTTTCTATTTAATTGATTATTACTAATTATCTATTTTTAATTTAAAGTATTCATTATATTAGTGACATTGACTTTTCTAATAGATATATTTTTTTTATTTGTGCTTTTTATTATTTTCAACAATTCAACATTTTTAGTATTATTAAAATCTTACTTGTGGATATACTTTCTTAAAAAGATTTCTTAATGACAAAAAGTTAGTAAGTAAAATCTTACGTAAAATTAAATACTTAATCTAAGAATCTCTGCATGATATATTCTAAATATTCTAAAAGAGTTATGGTTATATGTAAAGTATTAAGTAAACACTAAGATCATCTTAATAGTGAAGATTGAGATAATATACTGAGTTTTAAATTCGAATATTATTATTTTGATGGACAAAAAAAATTATAAAGTGTTAAATTTAAATCTCATTGTCCTATATGTAAATTATAAAATTTTCTTATTAATAAAAAATACACTTGATGGAGAGTTTTGCTACAAATATTTCAGGTCATTTTATTAAAATAATAATAATAATAATGTACGATGAATATATTTGGTAAGACCAGGTCAGCATGAACCAAATATGTATCACACAATTAATTGTCGATTCTGTTTTCTTGGTAAGATGTCAACATGCGATGCTTCCATAAAGTTTCGTGGTGCTCCTTGTGAACACATATCGAAAATGCTAAACCAACATTCTATGAACAAATGTGTACAAAATATCTATTTGGTCACTCTGTATGGACAATTTTGTAAAAAAAAATTCACTTGACATATTAAGAAGAAAGAAAGAAGAAATAAAAATATTTATAAAATAATACAAATATTCTTAAATAAAAAGAGGTGTAATATTAACAAATATTCTTAATAATTTAAATAAATTAAAAAGTAATTTTTAAATTGATTATAATCTAAAATAGTTTTATTAGCATTATTCAAATAATTTATTACACTTATTTTTTAAAATTAAATATTTCTTTCATTTTTTAAACTAATTTTTGTTAACCAAAATCTATTTATGTTTATCATAGTAAAAGATATTTTAAAATGAATGCATAATAACGTACAGTTGTGACTTTCTTTCTTTCAAAACTGTTTGTGTGATGGGTAATATGTCCTTTTGAAAATAAAGGCATGTTTTCTCCTCTTCTTTCTTCTCAATTTGTATAGAAAAACCTTCTTCTTCTTTTTTTTTTTTTTTATCATGGGAACTCAATACTAATAATTCTTTCCTTCAACAAGAGGAAAATAAATAAGCTTTTCTAACTTAAAAATAATTTATGAACAAATTAAATATAAAATTTTAAAGAAATTTATATAAAATTTTGTTTATAAATTAACTTATGCATTAATTAATTTTAATTTACTTACTTTATTTATATTTTTAAAATTTTTATAAAAAATTATTTAAACATGACTTTATAATATTTTTTGAATGAATAAAATGTAACAATGATTAATTCAATTTAACACATCTTCCAATACTTTATACTTTGTAGACAATTTCTCTCAAAATTCAAACCTTATTATGTGATATTTACATAAGATTCCTCTTTCTCATTTTTAAGCAAGTTCCCGAGAGGGCTTAATTGATTCATGATTTATGTTTTGTTTCTCTTGTACTTTTTGTTTATTTCGAGAGATATATTCATTCATTTTAATTCTTTTTCGATTGAGATGTATGGATCCATGGGTTTATGTGACTATATAGATCCTGTTCATGGATTAACAAAAATGCACAAAAGTTCTATTTGCCTTTGCCATTCTATGAGTCTCTTTCTCTTTGCCCTTTGACAGCATCTACTAATTCGAAACTTAATTTGAAAGCCATATTTCGACCCGAACGTTTTCGAGATGCCCCTAATAACCAACGAATAGCACGTGCTTTTCCTTGTGTGAATCCTATCTCAACGGGAACTTGATAAGTTGATCCGTCTGCGCGTCTTGCTTTTACTGCTATATCAGGAGTTACTCCACAGCAAATGCGCCACCAAGCTGGGCTACATCCCTTTTCGATTTGTTTCTAGTGTTATTGTAAAGAATCTTTGTCTTGTTTTCCACATTTTTATTTTCTCTATTGATATATCTATATAGATATATTTATATATTATTATGCCATTTTTATAGTTTCCTATACTATAATATATAATCAAATATGAAAAAAAAATATTAAAAAAATAAAACAAATATTATTCCATAGAATAAGAATAAACAATATTCTCTCTCTCTCTAATAAAGGAGGATTTGAAATGCGAGATTTAAAAACATATCTTTCCGTGGCACCAGTAGTAAGTACTCTATGGTTCGGAGCTTTGGCAGGTCTCTTGATAGAGATCGATCATTTTTTTTTCTAGATGCATTGATATTCCCCTTTTTTTCATTCTAGTTATTGTCACGGGAAGGGATGAACAAAATTATAGATCCAATTAAATATATGTAATTAATCTCCTCTTTTTGATTTCTTCTTTTTGAAAATTGTAATAGAATAAGTTAGGAAAGGTAAAGAATAAAGGTTAATTTTGAAATAACCTTTATTCAAATTCATCTGAATGAAAGGTTAGATTTCTTGTTTGAGGGAAGAATTGTTGTAATACGAATAAGGTCTCGCATCGATAAAATAAGAATAGAAATAATAATTTATAAATTACACACATATTTCAATAATTGAAAAATCTTTTGAGTGATAATTAAAAGCAAAATCACGAAAACTTAGACTCAAAACGAATAATATCTCATCATTGTAAAGTTATATATGAAATAACTTTATAAAAATACCAAATCCATGAATAAAGTAAAAGCTATAAAAGACAAGTTTTACCAAACTAAACTTCTAGCAGAAATCCAAACATGCACCACAGACATTTGAATCCATATCTACATGTATTGAGATACAAATAAGTCTCACATCAATAAAATAAGAAAAAAAAATAACCACTTATAAAACACACTCATACTCCAATGATTGAGAGACCTTTTGAGTGATAATCAAAAAGCAAAATCGTGAGAACTTAAGCCCAAAGCGGACAATATTTCATCATTCTAGAATATGTTTATGAAATAGCCTTATAAAAATAACTCTCATAAAATATCTCCTCATACATATATCATAAAATAACCCCAATAACATGATTCAGTGACTAGTAGATACAACATCAATAACAATGTCAAATATAAATTTACATATATAAAGTGACACTCTTATTAACCTAGGATCACTCTTCCTTCTATGTGCAACTCAAAAAAGTATGGTAATTATTTATTTTCTATTTTCATAATACTATAAAATATTATAAAATTCAATAATATCAATATTGGTTAAAAATACTCCATCACAACAATTTGACTAGTGAAACTCTCACTTGTCAAATTTTACGATCTAGTTACTAATATCAAAATTATTGAAAAATATAATATTTTATAATATTATGTAAATAGATGATAAATAATCACTTCACTTTTCTGGATTGCAAATAAAGGAAGAGTAATCCTGAACTAACAAGGTGTCACTCTATATATGTGTATTGACAAGAAAAACTAAATAACAAAGATTCAAAAAAAGCTAAATACGCCAATGGAAATACAAGTCTCACTATACAGTACAATCACCATAAATCAATAATTTAAATTCCAAAAAAAGACAATGAAACTAAGGATTAAAGAGGTTCAAAGCTTTACAGTGAGATACAGATTTGTGTGTGCATGCCACAAAACTAGTATTTGAATGCAAAATCTTAAAGCTAAAGCCTCAGAGTGAGATCAGGAGATGCAGATGTTTGTGCTGGAGGTGCAGTTGCTATAAAACTAGTATCTGAATTATGAGCATGATCATCATGCTTCAAATTAGCACCACCATTACTCCTTTTATCTATCTGCCTGAAACTGCCAGGCCAAAACAGACCAACATCATCATCTTCAACAAAGATCGGAGTCGGCCTCAAGCAGTCTTTACCGAATTTCGCTGCAGCTCTCACATCAGGAGCCTTCAGTGGATGCACATGTCCTTGGTGTTGGTGCATTGCTGCGTGAGCTTCAAGTCCAAGGGACCGAAAAGTGGAACCATGGAGTGGCAGAGATGCTAGGCTTGTGCACCTTCCGGTGAACATTCCCATTCGCATTGCGCGCTTTGCCATTGTCCTCTCCCTCTTGTGAGCATTCTGGTGTCCTCCCAATGCCTGTGAGCTGAAGAACTTGCGCCGGCAATAGTTACAAGAGAAAACTCTAGGATTTGCTGAGGCTGAGTGGTTTTTGGTTCCTACTTCACTGTTGGCGTCACTTGTGCCTTTCAACAACTCTTCATCTTTCAACAACTCTTCATCAGTGAGATTGAAGTTGAGGGTCAAATCAAGAGAAACAAAACCTGGATCAGGATCAGCCTTTGTAAGGCCTGAGGAAGTGGTGGATATACACACAACTATGTCTCACATCTCGTGGAAAGTATTTCTCCAAGAATAGCCACTTGAAATTCTCCCAGATCACTTGGGTACCTGCAACCATCATTCTCTGCAAAGCACCTTGCCACTAGACCCCAGCCTCTCCAGAAAGCATGAATGCAGCCAAAGTCACCTTCTGCACCAAAGGACATCCTATATCTTGGAATATCTTTTCAACCTCAAAAATCCAGTCAGCAGCTCTATCAGGATTATAACCCCCACGGAAGCTTGGTAGATTATTTCGCTGGAATCTCTCCAGCCAATCTACCTCTGGTCGTTGGTTCAAAGTACCAAGAGCCTGAGCCATCTCTTGTAGAGCATCAGTGATTACACGATCATTCCTACCTCCTGCCATTACTCTTCTGATTCTTAGAAAAGTTAACAATTATACTATAATTAAATAAAGAACAAACATATTCAATCATCACACTAACATATCAATAAGTTCCACAATCAATTCATTCCATCATTCATCTACCAAACAAGCATAGTAGACTCATAACTCACGACCGATTAAATCGACCTGCTCTGATACCACTTGTTGTGCATTAGGGGGGTTACCATACATATACACATGTCTCCACTTTGGTGAGATATTGTCCGCTTTGGGCCCAAGCCCTCACGATTTTTCTTTTGGACATCACCCAAAAGGCCTCTCCACCAATGGAGACAAGTGTGTGTATATAAACCCATGTCCATCCTTTTGTTTGAATGATGTGGGACTTTGCTTGCATCCCAACAATCCTTCCCTCAAACAAAGGACCACGATTTACCCCCTTCCCTGCAACGAAAACTATGATTATTATCCAATGGTGACCCACAGAGCTCACTCACTCTCTGAGTGCTTGCACTGTCGCTCCATCATGACTTCTCTCATGTCATTGGGACACACCTCCTAACCCTTCATGTTACTAGGAAGCCTCTCTTCCACATGGACCCACCGTTAGGAAGACTTTCGACACAAGAGATCCCAAACTTGGATCCACCTGCCAGCCATCATACTAGTCAAGCTGGTCACCTAATCATACCATCAGCTCTGATACCACTTGTTGTGACACCCTTACTATCCCAACACATATATAGTAATAATGTAAATAAACTAAGGAAATAAATTTTTCAACATTGGTAAAAGGATTCACATAAAAGCCTTCACAAATATTCTTCAATATCCAAAATGAATAAAAATTGGAAAATAAAACATAAGATTTTACAAATTGCTTTAAAATAATAAGTACAACTCCAAATTCATATAAAAATTCCATGTCCTAGAAGTCCTCTGCCCCGATGTCACAATATTAGAGCATACCCACAATTCGACTGTTGTCATTCTAGATGCCACTCATAGCCAAATTTTTCTCACCTAAAACATCCACAAATTATACGGTGAGAAAAGAAAACATCTATATGTAAAACACATACAAACACACCACAATGTAATCTCATCATAACTCATTACATAATGAAATATTCACAAGCATTTCTATATATCATAACTCTATCAATCATGCATCATCTTCACATCATAATTCGCAATCATACCAATCCATCACAAATCTTGCAATTAACACTATCATTTTCACATTCATAATCCACACAAATCTTATAATTAACACTATGCCAAGGCCACGCCACAACTGACATAAATGATACGGGTTAATTACCTCATTCATCCCACACTATGCCACGGTCACGCCGTCCTTGTAGCATCACTTACCCAAGGGTCGTGCCATCCCTGGTCATTAGTGTGAGGAACCACAATAACATTCATAATCCACACAAATATTACAATTAACCCTATGCCAAGGCCACGCCACATCTGACATAAGTGATACGTGTTAATTGCCTCACTCATCCCACACTATACCAAGGTCACGCCGTCCTTATAGCATCACTTACCCACGGGATCAATCACAAATTAGGGGGTTGTTCTTCACAAACCTAGAAATTTAAGGAAGATTATTCTCCCAGTTGTTACAGTCTTACAACCTTTATTTACTGGCAAAATAATTCCTTGAATTTTTGTAATCTTTTAGGAAAAAATTACGAAAATTTTCAGTTAATTATTTTAAAATCAATTAGGTTTTAACATAACACTCAAGAGTCATAATCACAAGTTGGAGAAAGTTAGGACCTCCCTGGCTAGAGAAAATGTTTTATGTTTTAATTTTCAGTTTCCCTTTTAATTCTTGTTTTCATTCTGTTTACGTTTTTTAAGTTTATATAGAACACCGTTGAAAACAATAAAATTACTAAAAATGAATTGTGATTAAAAGAAAAAAGCGAAAACATATCCCCAAGTTTTCTGAAGAAGCTAAACAAAAGATTCCTACATTACTCATCAGTTTATTTGACATATTTTCTCATAAAAAACATCTCTTAAAACGGACCAGAGCAACCACCCAGGCTTCTTCAAAACACTGAAATCAAACAGGTAATTGAAAATTTGCACAAACTCAAAAGGAAGACAAAACAAGCAGCAAGAACCAAAAGCATCTAAAATTAGTAAAACATATAAAAAGGAAACACATGCTAGTAACTTTAAATTAGAGAACACCCATTAATCTTCCCCCCTTAGATCTAAAATTTACACTAAAATAGCAGGCATAATGCATCTTGCCATTACAAGAACCGCTTCCAAAATTAAAAATAAAACAGCAGTAAACACAAATTCCTCAAATCAAAACAATATTTTTTACTTTCAAGGTAGAGTGAGCCTCCACTAAACTCCACGACACAAGAGAAGCAACAGCAGACCCAAATAAAGGAGAGAAAATAAAGATTAAAGCAGCAAAATGCATGTACGATTTAGAAGAAAGGGTGAAAGGAAATGCAAGTCTTTAGGTGAAAAGAGGCACTTACATAGTACTGTACTATAAAATAAAATAAAATAAAGGAAAGAATCTGCATTGAGAAGCTAAGGGGGTATTATACTGTTAATAGTACTTTTTAGGAATTCACCACTATGAAGTGGTGATGTGATGAGAGACAAACTTAAAAGGAGATAAGATTACAGAGAGAGAGATGAAAAATAATGGGAAAGCATAGGAAAGAGAAATGAGAATGATAAAGGGAAGTCAGAGAAGTCAGATAACATGTACAATTACAAACACAAAGAACCACTTCTTTTGTCCAATTTTGAAGTTTCTATATGTAGTTCCATTTTCCTGTGCTTTCAACTCTTAATTGATAATCAGTGAGTGTCAGTGAGTGCAAAAATATGGACAAACAGAAAGACAAGGAAATTAATGGGGTGCTTTGTGTGAAGACCCACACAACCAACCAACCAACACAAGACATGGCCATATCATATAGTGTTTCTTCGGCTTCCACTAAGAAAAAAGGAACGGTCCATTATATTCAATAATAACCTAACCTTTAGGTGATACAATCATAATAACTTTTCTATTATTATTATTATTATTATTATTTATAATTGAAGATCTTTCTCCATGCTATGATTAACCTAGCTCACTTTGTCCAACTCGTATATTATATGGACCCCCATAACTCCTCCTACCCTTTTTCTGATTTGCCATGTTCTCTATTTTCTTTTAAAATTGATTTTGCACCAATAAGTTATAAGCTAGTATCTTTTTTTAGTTCTTCGAAACACAACAATTGTGCGAAGAGGCTAGGTACATCTTCGTGATCAGCCAACAATTTTTGTTTGTTCCCCTATCAATCTATCATGATACCTCTTAAACATACAAGTGCAATGCCCAATTAAACACAAGAACTACTTAAACAATATAGCGGGTGTTTTTAAAGACATTAAAAATATTGTGAAATATATATATATATATATATATATATATATATATATA